CTCTCTCTCTCTCTCTCTCTCTCTCTCTCTCTCTCTCTCTCTCTCTCTCTCTCTCTCTCTCTCTCTCTCTCTCTCTCTCTCTCTCTCTCTCTCTCTCTTTCTCTCTCTCTCTCCCCCCTTTCCGTTTCGCCGATAGAGAGGCGGCTGCAATCGCCATGCAGGCAACGACAAAAACGACTACCGCGTATAATCCACGCGCGCGGCATTGATTCCACCCTCCGCGAAAACAAAAGCTTGGAGCTCCGGCACTTCGCAATTCCTGATAGACCGGCGATTCTTTACGGCGGTCTTTTTGGCAAAATAGTTGTGCCAGTGGTATATACAAATATATCGTGAAACGTGTGCGCAGCGCATTTCAGAAATGATAAATCTCGGGTAAAAATTTAGTTAAAATAATGTTCGATCGCGCGAAAGTAAATGACAGGTGAAATTTCGTTACGAAATTTTCAGGAATAACAAATAATTGTAATTAACTAACACAGAATGATTTTCAGGGTCGCCAGCATTAATTAACAATCTGGCTTCGCCGGATACGGTCAAACGAACTTGATGTTGTTAATTGCAATTAAGTTACACCTTGGTTGAACGTGCATTAAGTAACTTTTACTAGCGCGCGCTCAATCCCCAGAACTTTCTCTTCCTTTTGGAGAACTTTGTAGCCAAGTCGCACGACGAGACGGAGGCAAGGCAAGGAGACGTTCAATATCAATAGTTTTGCAATTTCAGGTGGCAAAGAGGATGATCCTAAAAGCTCGTCCTCGAGTTCCTTGAGCTCCGCGCAGAGTAAGAAGCAGCGTAAGGCGCGTACAGCTTTTACGGATCATCAGCTCCAGACCCTGGAGAAGAGCTTCGAGCGGCAGAAGTACCTCAGCGTGCAGGATAGGATGGAGCTGGCGGCGAAGCTGCAGCTGACGGACACGCAAGTGAAAACGTGGTACCAAAACAGAAGGTGAGCGAAACGAAAGACGCGTTACTAATTTCTAAATGAGACGCGACATATGCGGACGATAATTAATTTCGTGATCGTCATCGGCATTCAAACAATCGCGATACGGTAGGCCTCCTTTTTATTTATCCTGGCCGCTAAACCGCGAATAAAATATATCGATGGTACTTCGGCAATGCAATATTGCATGTGATATTACTGATAGGGAGAAGCTCTTATTATATATTATATTTAATTACAACTATTTGCTATATTATAAAAAAGCCGACAGCCTCTTTTTCTCTCAGGCAATATCGAAAAGTTAAAAATAATTTTCACGAACGTCGACGTACCGTTCGGCTTTTTCGATCGGGTTTCTTATTAAGGTACTGAGAAAATTTTTATTGAAAGATAATTACTAGAAGTATCTGCCTTTCAGCGCGCGATTGACTGCATGATGAGGCTGCGCATATAAAAAAACCGTTGAATAGCCGTTAAAAGTTTGACTCTAAAGAGACAAAGGTGGAACCATGACGATCGATCGACCTCTCGATGCTCGCGTTATATATTGTTGAATATCGGATAGAATGCTTCTCATCACGATCCCCCGTCTCGGAAGTATGGCGGCGCGGTTCTTTGTGCCGGCGCGTGTCGAATCCGTAAATGGAAATCGCGGCGGCCAACAAAGGCGTTGTTTACGTGGTTAAACGCGAGGATCGTTGGCCAAAACCCGAGCAAGTATCTCGAGAGTCATGCGCCTCCGTTACCGGTTTTGCGGCCCATCTTAAGAATATCGTCCTCGTCGACACTTTAATAAGCTAAAGATAACTTTGATCGTTACGACACACAACAGATTTCTTCGTCGACAGAATTATGAATAAAAGTCGTACAGCCCTGAATTCAAATTATTTCGGGAGGAATATTACAACGTATATCGAGACAAATGTTATTTCTCTGCTTATTTCGACGTTATCAAAAATACGGAAAATATTCTTCCCAAATTTAAGGTGATACTCCGTAAAAACTGCTCGCTGTATCTCCATAAGCTAACGTATCGCCGTACAGCAACAGAGAAAGAGCAAGGGGAGAAAAGGAAAAAAGCGGCTAAAGAGCTGTCGAACTTGTAGAGCGAAAATTGTACAGAATACAGGGCTTAATTTACAACAATGAAAACAAATAAAATCAACTAATAAGAATTCTTCAATGTCGCCAGCGATTATAATTAACCACGTCAGTGTTTTCTTGACCGTACAGAAAATTTATTGAGAAAAAGTCGACAACATCTTTATACTGTTATTGCGACAAATATTATCATATGCCCCGGTGGTCGAATTGGTGAGACGCCCGCCTAGAGTGTAGGGGGAGGTCCAGGTTCAAACTCTGGCTGAGGTAATACTTTTCGCAATAAATTTTCCGTATTAATAAAAATGCCAGGTACGGTAAAACACATATATAAATTCGACCGATTTTTGTATGCGAATAGCACAAAATAGTTTTAGTATGTACTTATATTTTTATAGAACTTTTTGAACAGTCGCTAATACGTTTGTTTTGCATTGATCCGCTAAGCCTTGTGCACATGGTGCCAGATATTAGTTCGAGGAATGTACCGCCAATTAATTTGCAAAGTTTGCGGAAAAACGGCAATTGTACTGACACGTTTCTCGGATCGAGATCCCGCACTGACAGTGAGGTCTAACATCGCGGACACACAAGTCTTTACGCAGGATTGATTGCAAGTTCACCGTCGGTTCCTTCACGGGAGTAAGACCAGGCAGCTGGAATCGGTTTCCAGATCCTCTGCGGCATCCTTTGTGAATGCGGCTTCGCAAAGTCATCCAGTGGCGCCTACAGTTTCGTAGTTTTTCATGGACCGTCCACCTCTTTCCAATCTAATCAGCAGGCTTGTTGGTCGGCTCGCAAACCCCGCGCCAAAAGTTTACCGAACGAAATTAAAATCGCATGCCACGGACGGTCCCGCGGAATCACTTCGACACGCTTCGTCCCGAGTAAACGAGTGTAACATCGGCGGGGAAAAGTTCCATACAAACCTCCTTTCTTGAAAAACTACAGGCAAATAATATATCGCAACCAGCCCTGCTATTATTTGTCCAGACATTATTTCAATTTTATAATTTAAGACTGAGATGAGTTCTTTTTCTATTTTTCCCATTAAAAAACGTAATGTACTCCACTTTTACAGCCTGCGGAAAAGATTGATTTGATATACACTTGTATTTTTAAAAACTTTGCTCTTTCCTTTATGTTTTCATAACTCGTCCTTGCGATACGTCTACTCGCAACTCAAGTTCTGACGAAATCCCGTACCCTCAGAAAGGATTTTTGTTACCGAGACAAAACACATCCTTGACGCATTTGTATTTCTCACAACCTCATTTAGTATAAAAATAAGACAGTGTCAAAATAAAATCAACAATTCTTATTCTCCTCTATCGAATTAAAAAAGATTGACTTACTATTGTATATTGAGAGACAAGAGTAACTTATATAAATGTAAGTTTATACATTCTTGCGTTTAGAATAAATTTTCCCACCGTCTTACAACGCACGAAGTTGGCACCGCGATATTCGACAAAAGACTATCATTTTATTCTAGATTTGAGACTTTTTCATTTAAGATTAAAACATTGCTTTCTGTATAATAAATATGATTGACGCTATATCGATCCTATTTTATGATACATTCAAGTGTAATAGCATTGGATTCGGAAATTTTTTCTGTGGGTGCGTCGACGGAAAATCTGAACTTTACTTTTACGCTCTTTAAAAATCAATCAGTGGATCATCACTGAAAACAATGAACAGTCACTGATTTGCAGTCATAAGTAAACTACTGCGATTTTCAGCGGTATACTTATAACTGCAAATCAGTGACTGTTGGCTGTTTTCAGTGATAATCCGCTGATTGATTTTTAGAGGGTACGCAAAATCCATCCACCGCGCCGGCCGTATCGATCTCATTACGCTACTTAATTATCATTACTCTCTTGTTCCTCTCGTCGCGCCGAGCGGTACGGTGATTAGCAAGGGAACACCCACAAGTCATGACTCCGCGACTTCTGGCCGGCGGCCGTTTAGTTTAGACAAGCGGCCGATCGCGCACAAAGAAGGCGAATCGTTAATGAGGATCCTCGTAGATCGTGATGTACGATGTACGAAAAGGTGGAGGCCGGGCGAGGCGAGCGCCCCGGCTCTAGACTGTGTCATTAGACTGTCAATTACCGGTGGAGCGAATGGCGTAATGACAGGCAGCGAGCGCTGCCAAGCGTTGCGCCGCTCCGCTCCGCTCCGATCGTCAAAGACCGCATGCCTGCATTTCGGCGGCCGTTCAATTTTTTCGCGCGTAATTGCGCGCCGCCGAGTCCGCTGATTTTCAAAGACGCTGCTCGTTTCCCGTATCACGTCGGCGGCTACGGCGGCGGCACCGCGCACGTCGCAATTGTACACGGCGTAATCGTTACGGCTATTTATTTCTACAGTCGGCAGTTTGCTCGCTCATTACGCCGGATCGGCGTAATGGACAACGGTGATTAAGGATCGCTTTTGATACAGAACTTGCGTAGCGAGGCGCGCGAATTACTGTTATATCGCGTTATATCTCGTTTGCGTTTCGTCCGCCGTCATGCCGATCCGGAGAAATAAACTCGGGTTTTGTTCTGCCAGTTCATGCGTGTCGAATTGAAAACGTGAGCGTTTCCGGCACGAGCGGGCTTGCCGATGATCGATCGAATTTTGAATACTCGCGCAAAATGGCCCGGCAGGATAAACAGACGCGCTTTCGCGCGCGTGGTTCTTTTCTCGCTGGACCGCGATCCGCACGAGTCGCCCGGCAGCCTCGGGAGGAGCTTTCGCGCGACGACAGATTTCCGAACGACGTAAATAGAGGGAGAACAATCGTAAAGGCCTGTGTCCGCGGTCTATGTGTTCCGAGACATGTGTAGCCATTCAACTTGCAGCTTTTACGGAAAAGCTGCAAGTTAATTAGCTACACATTTCTTGGAACTTGGACACAGTTCTTGAATCGTGGATACGAGGCTTAAACCTTGTGTCCACGATACTAGAAATCGGTTCGAGTTCTCGATCCGAGAAATACAATATGTAGCCAATCAACTTGCATCTTTTACGGAAAAGCTGCAAGTTGATTGCACACATTTTTTGGAACTTGAACACAGTTCTTGGGTCGTGGACACAAGGTTCAAGCGGTGCAATACCATTGTGAAAGTGATAAGTATAACCGCGTCAACGGAATCAGACCTGCACCCCCCGCGGAACCTACATTAATCGCTACACGTTTCATCAAATACCGTCAAAGTGCGAAGTACCGTATATAATATATCGCGCGCGGCATAAATTACAGATCAGCATGACGCGCGCTTTAATCTTTGTACATGTCTCGCGCAATACTTGGAGCCGCCAAGAGAGTCCCTCCCTCCCTCCCTCTGTCGCGCTCTCCTTTCTCGACGTAGCCGCGGCGTAGCGGCGTACGCTAATTAATTTTCGCCATGTTGACACTCAGCCGCGCTTAATTAGGACGAAAATGAGAAAACCGACCCTAGGGGTGGTGGCGGGAGGGTTGAGGCAGGGGAGGAGCACGTGTGCGCGCCGCGGCATGGCACGTATCGTCGCGCGAGCGAGAACGCGGAGAGGTGGAGGCCGCCGCGCCGCGGCCGGCAAAAAGGCGGGAAAATTAGTGACGCTCCTGAGTGACGGGCGGCTTCTTAAGTGCCCGCTTAAAGTTTTGTTGCTCGGTGCACGCCCCGACGCGGTGTGACTCGGCGCTTCCTCGCGGAGGCGCCGGCCACACCTCGGGCGCCACGGCGACGCGGACTCCTCTCTGCTCCCTTTTTCCCCCGTTGTCGGCCGAGCCGGCCCGCCGGATCTTCGTGCGCGGAGATTGTAATAGTAAATAGGAGCGTATCTTCGGGGAGGTAGACGCTGAGACGCGTAGTCGCTTTCGGGCGAGAAAAATAACGGGCGAGGACCCGAGCCTTTGTGTCCACGAT